GGGGGGCGGGGCTGAGGCGCGTTGTCTGGTCCGGAAGCGGGGCAGCAGGTGAGGAGCAGTGGGAGGGTGAGTGGGACCCACCCGGGAGAAGGGAAGCTGCCCTCTCCGTCGTCCCTGCCTTTGGCTTCTCTGAGGACTCTCGAGGCATCCGCGGTTGCCTCTTGGAGGGGCGGGTCAGGCCTGCCTGTCTTTGCTGAGTCGCACTAGGATCGCAGGTGCCCTGGTTAATAGGCCACGTTAAGCCCCAAGTGGGGCGCACTAATTTTTTTGTAACTCCCCCGTTGCTGTTGAAGGGGCATGGCTGGATCGCGGGGTGGTTGGCTTTCATTGGCTGATCGGCTGTTGGAAAATGTGTGCTCTTCAAGAGTAGTCGTTGGTGCGGTACTCGAAAGGGTTCTGGATTGTTGACTCCTGGGAGCAGATGCTGGTGCAGATCTTCACAGTGCTGATCTCAAAAAGATGAGAACGGTAGCGTGGTGAGGGTGATGAGACGGAACCGGAGCAAGAGCTCAGCTTTTTGGCTCTGTGACACCTGGGAGTTATTTTTGCCTTTTTGAGTGTTTTGTTGTTTGCAACATGAGCATCCCGGTGCCGAATTGTGACCTTCCAGGGGCCAGAGGGGAATTGCTTGTCAAGAGGTGACATGAGGCCTCTTCCTTGAGAGTTTGGGATGAAGTTTGTGGTGAGGAACCCCTCCTCCAAACTAGATCATGGTACTCCCTCTGAGGCCTTGGATCAGGCTACTGCAGCCTGGGGAGCCATGGTCAATGGAAAGTGAAGTGTGTTTAGTTGTGGGCTGACCTTTAGACCCCAGTCACAGTGAGGACTCTAAGCTGATGGATTGGGCTTATAACGGAGCCTTATGGAATGCTCCCACTCCCATCCAACTTGGTTCTGCTATATTCCAGACTTAAGAATGAAGAGCACCATGGACCTTCATTAGGTGTTTACGGAGACAGAGAGACGGGAGAGAGATTATGGGGGCCCCTGTGATCCAGAAATATCCTTTATCTGCATGTGACTTTTGGGTACCCGGTGTTGCCTCCGGAGCAGTTGGTCACTCTGACCTGCACTACACCTCCAGTGTTGTGTGGACAGGGCTTCTTGCTGGCTTGCGTTTGTCTTCATTTTAGAAGCTTGGGACTTTTGGGGACCAGACACCACGGTGCTGGCCTCCCTTGCTACAACTGGTATGGTGATCCAGTGGCAATATGGAGATGTCCCAGGGATAGGCTCTTGTGGGGGAGCATTTGTGTGGCAGGGGCTAGGACTAGAAGCAGCTTGTGTGAATTGTTCCACCCTGTCTTGGCAGAAGCCATGTAAATGTCTCTTCGGGACTGCTCTTCTATGGCCTGTGTGTTAAAATGAAGCCCCAAGCCTGGTAGCTGATGATAAGAGCACATACCAGAAAGTGAGATGATTCATTTTTCTTTCTTTCCTTCTTAAAAAATATTTTTATTACATTTATTTTGTGTTTGTGCATGTAACAGTGTGCATGGGGAGGTTGGAGGATAACTTGTGGGAGTCTGTTCTCTGCTTCTACCATATGGGTCCCAGGCATCAAACTCAGGTGTTCAGGTTTGGTAGTAGGCACCTTTAACCTCTGAGCCATTTCACAGGCCCCATGATTGGCTTTTCAATTTGTAATTGGGGTGATAGCATTTAGAGCTGAGAGAAAACTGCATAATAGAAAACCGTTATGTCCAAACCCCATTTCGATCTGTCCCTAACAT